CCTTCCTTCCTTCCTTCCTTCCTTCCTTCCTGTCAGTTTTGACTCCTGGCAACTACAGACAATTCCATGGCAACATTTTTGGAAGTCGTTTGCCCTTGCCTTCTTCCTAGAGTGACTGGCCCAAAGTCCCCCATTTGGTTTCATGCCTAAGGCAGGACTAGAACTCACAATAATTTGAACTTATATTTTGCTACTGTATCTTTAGAAGTTTACTTTATATGACTAAAATGCTGTACTGTTGAAAAAGAGAAGAAAAAAGAGGAGCATTCTCGCATTGTGATACATCTGTGGGTCCATTCAAATACAATGCCTCATATACTGATCTGAATGTTTGCATTCAAATGGGCCTACAGATGTATCTCAATATGATTGTGAGCTAGGACATGTTTTTTATATATATAAAAAATATCAAATTTTTATATATCAAATTTGTCCTTTAGCAACTGGCACTGGTATGGTACTGTAATGCTTAATCTGGAACCAATAATGCTGTGCAACCCTAGGAACCAATCCAAGTGGCTCCATCCCAAAGATAACAAAAATGGTATTGTCTTTTGTTGGATCTTCCCCCTCTGTACAGCGACTCTTCAGATGTTTATGGATGTGGAAAGCAAACAGCTGAACATATTTTGTTTGGTAGGAAACAAATGACCTACAATCCCTAAAGAAGGTCACCCTACCTAAATAAATGGAGGAAATTAACCATTGCAATAATTTTTTTTCCAACAAGCTTGGCCTTTTTGTAGAGTTATCCGGCTTTTCCTCCACCTCATGGAAAAGGGAAGGCATTAGTGTGTTGGCTGGCAGCTTAACTGCAATTAAACTTCGGGTGTTCCTCCTGCATTCTAAGTACTCTTGTTGAATGGAACTGTAAGTCAGTAACTCTAATTGAATGGTTACTTACTAGGGACTAAGTTTTATTGCACTCAGTGGGACCTGTTTCTGTGTTAATATGAATAATACTCATTTAAAATTAATTTTAAACTCTTAAATGTGCTTAAAATGGATCTACAGTTATAGGACCCTGTTACTGGTACTGAATAGTTTTATTCTCTGCTGAAAGCCACTTTAGGAAGGCTGCCATTTTAAAAAATGGTGAAAAATGCATTAAAAATAAATCAGAAGAGTATATTGCCTCAATCAAACTACTAGTCTATTTTTCAAAATCTGCATGTAATATTTAGCGGGGACTATAGCTAATGCTTGTGCAGTTTCTAATTTACCACTTCATGAATTGATTCAGGGCAGAATCTGTTTAATACTCATCACTCTTTCTGTCATGATGTTTAATGGAAGTCAGCTAATATTCCTGTAATAGTGTGGATCCTGCTCCTGTTGCTCGGGCACCAATGTGGCTGTGGGATGTCAAGAAATTTCCTTGCCTTCTAATAAATGGGTGTTTTGAGACTATCGATGCTCAGCGTTGCAACCGTCTTTGTGATTGGTCAAGCTCTCTCATGGCAGATATTTTGTATACGTACCCATAACATATTTACAAATTCCAGATGTGTCTACCTGTCCCCAGGGGTTACGTTTCTGGCCTGTTGGATCAGCCACCTTTTATGTAGCAAATGCTATTGCTGCAGTACATTTTTTTTTCAATCCTGAAGATTTTTTTTTAAAAATCCCAAACTCTTATATGTGGATGACTTCCACAGACATGAAGGCAACATAGGATTAGAGCTGTCCTAGATTTTTTTTCATTTCTGTTCCTTTTCCAACAACACAAGGCTGGCGGTCTCTTCATCTTTATTAATTTTTATTGGTAATTTAAATCATTTTTAATTTGCTGTAGAATGAGAAATGCCTCTGGTTGTGCAACTTCATCCGAACACATTTACTAGTGCTGTCCAAGCTTGCTATTTCCTCAAAGCCTTGTAGAGAAAACCATCATATTAACTTCAATAAACTAAAATGAACGATCTCAGCAGGTGGCAGCATTGGCCAGTGCTGCCTCGCGTTGGCAGGTATGCAGGGTCAGGCTTGGTTAGTACTTGAGAAACCACCGGGAGATACCAGGGCTGTGGGTGCCACGGAGGGTCCCAGAACATCCTTGAAGGCAGTGGCACACGACTTCTGTAACGCTGTCAACAAAACTCCACAGACATAATCACCGAGCGTGAAGGGGCTCCTTGCTTATGGAACCCAGCAGCATTGCCCACCATGGCTGGCCTCAGAAAGCTTACTAGGATTGGAGCTAAAGCTCTTGCTCCTTTTTTGCCTTCCAGTGAGTTCTGCACACCAATTGATTATGTCTGCTTATTTCAGCTGTCTCATGCTCTTTTTCCCACCAAGTGGGTTAGGATTAGGGCATCAATTGCTGGTTGACAGCTATGTCTGTGAATTGCTGTACCCACGCTGTTATCCCACCAAGGATATCGCACTAATTAATTATGTTCACAGCAAGTAAAAACTTTTCGGGTAGAGATTTTTACCCTAGTGGCAGGCAGAAAAGGAACAAGACCCAAAGCTGTTGTAGGAGACCACCATGATCTGTCAGGACTGTACACTAGTTCCCCTCTGTAAGAAGGCTAAAACACTCTGTAAGAAGGCTGTGCAAACCACCTCTGAATGATTGCCAGGAAAACAATATGGATGCGGCTGCTGTCACAGGGGTCTTTACCTCTACCTATAATGCACAGGTCTCCAACCGGCTGCCCTCAGGGCAAATCCCATTATCCTTAGCAATGGCTGTATTGTTTGATTTGACTGGATACTCTGTGTAGCTCAAGATCACTGGTGGGCACCAGTCTGGAAGGTGCCACTAGGGAGGTTGCTATACACGTGTGATCACTGCAATTAAGTCACACTAAATTCTTTGAGATTCAGGCGCATAAGGGTTGGTTTGCTGTGCTTAGAACTAAACCTTCGAATTTCAATTTATTTAAAACCGATCACCATGAGCTACGATCCAGTCAGAAGCGGAGGGGAAGGAAGCCAGATCCACCCAGAGCAGGCAGAATGGCATTTCTACTGTGAAACCAAAGGGACGATGCCCCTGTATACCACACAACATATACACGCCTTCCTAGATCCATGCTTCTCGAGGCAAAACTACAGATCTCTGAGTCATTAAAGAAGCACCGCCGCTTCCTTAGATTCCATTTTAAGCAAGCAAGCAAGAGGCTTTACACCGACGGGCGTGTGTGCGAG